CGTGTTCACTTTTTAAGAGTATTAAATTGGTTTCTGAAACAGAAATATGAATCCTGGCTCATCTGTTTTTCAACCTTTTGCAAAGCCTAAATAAAGTTTTAATTCAAGTAAACACTATCATGGTATCATACCGACTTAAAGTAAAAAAGCAATGCTTTTTTTTTTTTTTAAACTAATGAGTCAAATATTTGATCATTTGTGGAGCAAACATTGCATTTTGAATAGAATCCAACAGAATAGAATCCACACTGACAAAATATACACTCAGCAACTTTTTAAAACCTCTTATGTTTAAGACCATCTTGTGTCTATGAAGTTGGAACCAAAGTAACCAATGACTAAGTGTAATTTAGATTAATACATTTTTGTGGCTGCTCAGAAGAATGGAGCAGTTCTTGTTTAAGTTGCCCTTGTTATGTCAATTGATTGTAATTCTGGACTTTTATTGTATTCATTCTAACTTTGAAAGGAAATGCTGCTGTAATATGATAACAAAAAAATAATGGTGAAACTGTTAGAAAATTATTTCTAAAAAACTCTTTACAAAGCACATTTACAAGCATAATAAAATACTTGGGTGAGGAGGACACCAGGATAATACAATGACATCACATTATGGTGGTTTAACCTGAAGAGCTCATACATAGCATTGGTACTAATGTAATAAACTGTCTCCGGTCTAAATGCTTACGCAGCTCCACCCTGTTGGGTCACTATCTAAATGTCTCCTCACTTAATATGGTTGTGCCAGAGGCTTTTAGTTGCATTCTACTCTCCATATGGATCCATGCTGAGGTGTAACAATGCTTGTGCTGATCATATCAGCCTGTTCTTAATGTAATTATGACTACATTTAGGCCTCTGTGTCTTGTTTTTCTCTGGGCTTCTAATGATGATCTCTAAGAACGATGCATCTAAATGAGATGGATGAGGGCCCTAAGGGATGAGACGATCACCATGCAGCCAGGGTTTTGTCAAGAGCCCTGATCTAATATTCAAGGAACTTTGTCCACATCTTGAATTTATCATAATCACTCATAGAACTTTATGATTTTACATATAAGCTGTTCTTTTTTTTATTTATTTATTTATTTATTTTTATTAAAAAGGAGCTAAGTTTCGCTTGTTTGCACATTTGCACCGTCCAGGCACCAAAGGAACGTGACATGCAGAGGTGCAACGACAGCCTTGGGTTCTTGGGTACCCAGCAGAGCGTTCAGACCTCTGGGGGAGGGCTGGCACAAAAAAGCTGCTTTGTTCCGCACAATACGTGACAAGATAAAACCAACGCAGCTTCAGTCTGCTTATCTGTGCCATTCTGATCAAAACAAAAGAAAAAGGAGCGTTATGTTACACAACATGACACAGTCCCTCAATTTGAGGACAGATTGGAAATTCACTTGACCAGCTTGATAAATCTTATTTCACATGCCATGGAGTTAGCAGTCCAGCACAGTTCCACAGCAAAGTCATGACTAAAACAACCAGAATCAGATTAGCTGAAGTCTTTGAGTTTTCACAAGCATCTGAGAACCACAATGTGTAAAGCTGTGGGCGACTCTGCAGAACTTGTGAGAGACTTGGCACCAGTACATTTTTAAAATGATTCCCAGCCAGATGGAAGGTTCAGACAAACAGTGAAAACATGTTGGGCACTGCAAGCCCATCCGTCAGCGATAGAGGATTTTCACAGGGGTTCGTCGTCTGTCGGGCTGTCTGTGCACATCCTTCAGACCGTTTTTGGCAAACATAAAAACAGAAGGAGATAATTGCTCAGTCTAACGTGTCACTTTCATAGTAAGAGGTGCTCCAACACTGTGTTCTGCCCTTCACAGGACATGAAGACCACACAAGAGCAGATTAAGCAAGGATGAAAAGAAAATCGAGCTGATAAATTGGAATTCCATATACCTGTCTAGTTTTAGCTCTTATCTTTTTGAATAGTCCTCTACATTGATTTGTTTGGCATAGAGTGAAAATCAGATGAAAAATATGCAGGGGTTTTTATTTATTCCATATTCCATGTTGTTGTTGAGGGACCTAAGGTTTTTCTTGGTTTGGGAAAGTAAAATTATTCTCCTTGTTAAAGCAGCTTTAATCAATACAACAGGAAAAAGTAAATCTTACGTGAAGCTGTAGAAAAATTTGTATCCGGTTTTAAAACTCCCCTCACTAGTAAGGTAGCGTGTAACAAGGTATCGTGTCTGAATTTTGTTCCATAACCACAACTGTAGTATCACAGTTTCTCATTGATTTTTGAAGCCATTAACAGCGTTACATTGTTGTTTGGGAGATTTTGATCTATTCTAGACGGTGAACTGTCTCAGCAATTTGAAGTCTGTCCACAGATTGTCTATAATGTGTAGGTTGGGGACTATGATAGTTAAACCCTCGGGCTACACCATTAGCAGTAATTCATCATGGATTTTAACATGTCTTCAGAATGATTGCTTCTGCACTAGAATCAACCCTTTTTGTAAATATTCAGCTTCTTTACAGACGGTTTATTTCCTGAATTGATTGGATCTTGTACTCCATTTCTCGACACGTTTTCAGTGCCCCACTATAAAACACAAGTCCACACCCTAACTATGCATTTTTTCAAGTGTTTGGGTTAGCGGTAGGGCTAGGGCTACTGGGAATCTTCCCGTTTTTCTTTTCTTCAAATAATACCAATCATGAATTACTATGTAGAAACTACTCTTGAGGTTTGCCAAAGGTACATGGCTAGTTTTTTTTAATGGCAGCGGAATTGTTGAGGATATAATTTACACAAACTCTATAATCTTGTAAAGTGCCGAGGAAGAAATAAGACCCTTGGTCAATCAGTAATGAGTTTTCCTTTTTTGTATTCTGGCTCTATGATTGGTTTTCCCTGAAGGTTTTCTAGGTTTTTCAGATCTCAGCTTGACCTCCTCTGTTCCGGCAACTCACCATTGAACAGTAACAGTACAGAGAGGAGATTGCGTGTGAAAATCTTTTTGCAGTCTCCATAAAAAAAAAGGCCTAACATGCCTTTCTTAAATCCATAGGAAACAAGCCAAAGTCAATATGAGGTCATTATTATGGATGTGCAGTGCAGGTCTTGCATTTGAATAAGATTGGACATCTATAAATATTCAGTTTTCATGGTTACTACACTTCAAATGAAAGATATTAAGTGAAGAAGTGTCTTTCGGTCAATTCGAATTTATCATATTCAAAATCCAATGATTGGCAGGAGAAGTCATGATAACCCGCAGCCATGTTAAGTTCTTCTGTGACTAAAAATGTTAAAATATGTTGAATATTTTCTCACGGGTAGACCAGTGTTACAGGGCAGGTGTAAAATATATTGATTATACAGTATATAGCCATATATTATATAACGACAAACACAAGTGGGCAAAGGTTAACTCACAACTAGGTTGGGAAATGTGAAACAATTGAGTAAACTGCAGTCAATAAACCCCCCCCCCAAAAAAAAACCACCACCCTCATCCAATACTGATCCAACAGCCCGAGATTTAGGGCTGCAGTCACATAATGACAAGAGCACAGTGATATGTAGTTTTCAGCCATTGTCCCCCCCCGCCCATCTCAAATACTCAATGAAAAATATTTGTATGAAAGAAATATTCAAAACATTTTTTTTAACTCTGAGCCTTTTACAGGTTAATTGCGTTAATTCATTCATTATCATAAGAGACCTGAGATCAGAGTTGGCCAGTAATACATTATACATATATATATATATATACACATATGTGTCACAACCACTAGTCTTGGCAAAAGAGAACCCAAAAGCATAGCCCCGAGGCAGGCAAGATGTGAGGGAAAAGCAGTTTTACTTGGTCCAAAAACAGGCAGGGTATAAACCAGGAGATCAATCGTACAGGCAAACAAACCTGATATGGAGCAGGCAGGAATCTGAAGTCCGAGAGGGCAAAGTGAGGTCAGAACAGGTGAATGCAGGTAAGCTTGGCACGAAAAATCACAAGACAATCTGGCAGGGACAAAGTGGAAATGGAGTGGTATAAATACTGAGGACCAAATGAGCTAATGAACTGCAGGTGAGGAGATGGGGGGAGAGAACCAGGTGAGGGGAATCAGTGAATGCATGGCAGGAAAGAAGGGCAGGATCTGAAATGACAGGAGAATTAGTGGCCATAACAAAAACGAACTCAGTGCTAAAGTAACTACGTTACATATATGTCTGTGTGTATATATATATATATATATCAACAGACGTATTATATTTAACTTATTAACTCATTGACTGCCAGCCATTTTCAGAACAGAGAGTTGCTCACTTAGTTTTTTGAGAATTTTGACTGATTTTTCAAGAGCCACAGAATAGTTTGTGCTATGACTATGTAAACACCGAACACACCAAAAGAAAGACTAGACTCTCTTCTTTCATCAGGAAAAAAGATTTTGTTTCTACCTTATTCCGTTCTTCTTCGACGTGCGTCTCACCGGCGCCATTTCTCTCATAGCGAACCATTGCGTTCGTTTTTATTTGCTTACAATCTATGCTAATCTCCCATCAAAAGTGGCACAGTTACCTAGAGGGTAAATTTGTTAGTCCATACTCTGTCTAAAAGCCGATATTTACGGAAAAACTTTCGCCGATCGTCCCCCAAGCCACTCGCATTGAAAAACATAAAAGACGTCTATAGACGTCTTTGGCAGCGAATGAGTTAAATATTTTTAAATATAATTTTTAAACAATAATTCCAGACTCTATATAAAGAGTGAAAATGAATTAAATCTGAGAACTCTTGATTTGATTTTACATGTAGGGCATTTGAAGTCAATCCAAATTGTAATTGTTTGCCTCATATTTGATGGCGTGACCGCTCATGGGTATCGTGAGATAAGGCTGTGCTGGGGGTGGATCCTCATGGCTTTGTGTAATCAGGACATGGTGATGAGAAAAGGTCATTTGTGCTAATGCAACATTTTTTATTCGGTGAAAAAGACGTCAGAGCTGATAGAGGATGCAAAGGTCAGCCGTGTCATCCCGCCCATTCTGTCCTGTCGAGTGACGCAAAATGGATCTGATGAGTGCCCTCCACACTTTGCACTCCATCGGGGAGCGAGCCTGCGTCCCGCTCGCCCGGTGGGCGGGTGAAGGCCTGGGTGGAGCCCACTCTTGCACATGATAAACAACCTTCCAACAACCTTGACACTGACGGGAACTCTCTGACTGATATGGTAGAACAGCAGAGCTGAGAGAGAAACCCATGAGTTAAATATCATTTATGTCCTCACTGACATCGAAGACATGCAGGAGCAGATTCATGCACTTTTGATCTGTATCAGCAATTTTAATCGTAATGAAAAGCCTGGATAAACACGCAATTTATACTGAGCAAATGAATCACCTACTTGATATGCACAGGAGCACTAATCATTATCTAGCTAGCTCACGAGCATTATGCTCATAGCTTTCCAGTAAACAAAGCTTATGAAATCACTTTTTGTCAATTAGCTCAGTGAGAAATGATGTAGAAAAAAAATATGAACATTACAGATGTAATTTTGGAAATAAAGAGCAGCTTTGTCTCTATTTGTGACTATGCCTGAATTAATCTGAATACACTTTTGCCTGATGAGATGACAAACAGAGGGCTCAGCCAAGAAATGCTGAGGAGATATTTACTCTGACTGAGAAGTCAGACTTACAGGTGTAATTTACGCAGAGCTGACTGATTTTTCCCATCTAAAGAAAGGGGCTCACTAATTCTGAGAAACTTTTCCTTCTGCAGAAACAGGTCACGCTGTCCCCATGAGGGAACTGCACAGAAAGCCACGTGAGAGCCTAGTCTATCTTCACATAGAAATGGTATTAAAGTTAATAAAACCCCAGAAATGTGTTGGATAAGGTAGCAGTCACTAACATCGGAGCAGAATAAGGAAGACAATCTGCTGAAATTGATTGGAATCTCTTCCTTTGTTCAGTCACTTGGATGGATTAAACTGGCAAAAGTTAGGAGCTCTTAAATGGCTCTGAAAATGTATCTGATTGCAGCAGGTGGATTTTTTTTAAAGAGACAAAGCAGAAGTGTAGCACATGTGGGGAAAAAAGAGACCACAGCACTTTTTTAGCAAGTCTTTGGATCCCCTTTGTGTGTTTCTCCAGTGGCCCCGATTCAGAGAAAGATCTGCCATCTTCCTCCCATGATGTGCCTCTTACCACACCACACAGATGTTTGAGTGGATGCCACCGGGTTCAGGTCTGTGATGAGAAATCCTAGTTATGAGTGGTGGCACCCGGTGCGAGCACCGGCTTCCGAAGGGCAATAAAAAATAAATTATTCAGCCTGAAGTTTTGCATCAGTACAGCTCAGATGGCAGCACATGAGAGGGATTAATTTATGCAACATCCATGAGAGGACAAGGAGGGATGTCTCAAAGCCATGAATTGAGAGAGTGGTGCTCATCTGTATGTGGGGAGGCAAGTTTCAGCTCATAATGGAAGAATAACTAATTACTAATATAATTTGCAATGTGATAGCCTTGTTTTTAAGACGAAGGTGGGGATAAAAAACAAAACAAAACAAAATAAAAACTAATGGAATGCTTGCTCTTGTTGGTGTTTAATTTTTTTATTCCAACTTTAATGATCTCACCTGAACACAGATTAGTTTTGACACATAATGTTGACGGTGAACAAATGGAACGCTTGTTCTTTACGATGACGTGCTAACACCGCAGAGGCCTCAGATGTGGCCCTCTCACATGTACCTGAATGACTGACAACAGTAGCGTGCGAGAATGGATATTATTTGACTGACAGAGGAGGGGTGGGGGGAAGGTTGGGGGGTCAGAGGAGAATTAGCCGATCATTAGCATTCCATGACATTTTGCCATCCGTTTAGAAAGCGGTGGCCGCTTGTAAACAAAGTATCGTTGTGGTGCATGGCAAAGAGAAAAGGGAGCAGAATTGTATGTATAATGCCATTGTTCAGCGGCTGAGATACCATGAGCATATTCTAATGTGGCTCTATGGGGCACCCTCTGCCTGACTGAAACAGAGGAAGGAGATGATAAGGGAGCGGAGGGATGGAAAATGCGGCAGGGTAATAGAAAGTGCTCGGGATTTTAAAGGCCAAACGCTTCCAGGGGTTATCGGCAGCAGATACAATCCACACATTTTTTTCTTATGGTATTAACTTATTATGCTCACCAAAGAAGGCGTGTCAAACTTTAAAGAGGCTATCGAAAGATGAAACAAGACTTGCCTTGAAAATGCTGTAAAATTTCTTCAAGCCCCTTGATTAATAGGAACAGGGTTTGGGTTGTGAACAACAACAACAACCTTTTAAATAAATGTGTTCCACTTTCTGGCAGATGTTCCCGTCCTGGTAATCGTACGCTTTGTAATTAGGGGGGCCACTTCCTGCGGCAAGGCCCACCTATTACTATCCAAAATACTTATTAGGGGGGCCACTGCCAACGGCAAGGCCCACCTACTACTACTTAGGTGGTAATAGGTGGGCCTATTACCACCTAATATACTTATTCCGCGACTTATTAGGGGGTTCTAATAAGTCGCCACTGCCAGCGGAAAGGCACTGTTACTCTTCGCCATATTTATTCCGCGACTTATTAGGGTGGCCGCTGCCAGGCCCATCTATTACTCTTTGCCATATTTATTAGGGGGGCCACTGACAACGGCAAGGCCCACCTATTACTATCCAAAATACTTATTCCGCGGCTTATTATTAGGGGGGCCACTGCAGCGGGCCTTGCCACTGCAGCGGGCCTTGCCACTGCAGCGGGCCCCCCTCAAAATTTCTTCAAAAATTTTTTTCTAGTTATCGTTCTCCCGTTTCCGCGGACCGCTTCTCCTCCCGCACGGTTCGAACGGATCGGGCCCAAAACCGGCACGCACGTTCGGACCCACCTAGCCATAATTGCTTGTTCAAAACTTTCTCAAAGGAGCGGGCGTTTGCGAGTAAACAGCAAAAAATGGCGAAATTTGGGCCATAGGAAAGAATGGGGCTGCCGACAAACGGGCCTAAAAAAAAAGCAGTGAGATGAGGCCCGTTAGGGCCACATCGCTCGGCCCCACGACGTCCGAGAGACCTTGTTCGAACATTGAACGCCATATCGGAGCCACGAGGCCAGATCTTGCACCGTTTGCCTGCAATCGCTGTTGATGTTTTAGTGAAATTGAGAAAATCAGATATCCTGGCCCGCACTCTAGCTCAGCTCGTTAAGGCCTCTGAGAGCCCTGTGGGGACGTTTCCAGAAAAAAAGTCAAACTCTGGCCTCTCGCGACCAAACCGTGGGGCAGAGCGGCGCCAAAATGGCCTCAAAACGTAGCCGCGGGCGTCCTCTTTCGGCCGATGTGCCCGCTTTACACCTCGGCCTTACGGTTTTCCGGCAATCGGCCCCAGAGTCCAGACTTTCACGACCCTCTCCAATAGGATTTTAATGGAAGACAGGACACATTTCTTTCACCACAGCCAAAACGGCCCTCATTTTGAAATTGCCATAAAAAAATAACCGCTGGGAGCAGCCTAAAAATAAATAGACGTGCTGAGACCTGAAAGTCTCGGCCCGCTCACGGTCTTTTTCTCATCTTTCAGCCAATGTGACCCCCGACCTGCTCAAACCAATTGTATTCAGTCGGCAACCCCAGAACTAAGCCAGGTCCCTCCATCACTGCGTCTCTCCCTCAGGCCCTCTCATAGGCGCAAGCCCATATTAAAGAGAGCCCAAATATCAATTGGCCGAGCTGCCGGGCCCCTTTTGAGGGCCCCAGGAAGCCAGCCCTGGGTTCCTGGACGGGCAGTAGGTGGCCCCCCTCAAAATTTCTTCAGAAATTTTATAGTTTGTTTTGGACCCTTTTTTTTGTATTAATCTGACCACAACAAAAGAGATCACCACTTTGATATATCAATGAAAAGCCTTACATCTGCAAACTATTGAACCATATTCCTTTGACTGTCTCTGAGCTGTCAGTTTCCACAACAACACCATCGGAGAAACACACAAAAGCCATTGTGACGGTCTGGTCATGTACGGACTCTGAATGCACTCATATATATGTACACCCACGCATTCTACACAATTGCACAGAGTTCTATTCTCTAAATCGGTTGGCAGCTTTAGAAAAGCAAGGAGTCTAAAAGGAGACTGGCCAAATCTGCATCTTTTAAAAGGTTCCTGCTGTTCCCTCAAGGTAGGAGGCACACAAACAACACAGCTGGCAGATTTTTTTCCACTCTTGGCAAAGAGAAAGCTTGCCTTTCAGGTGTACAGCATGGACACAGCTTGGCTCTGGGGAAAAGCTGCCGTATAGCAGAGGTTACCTTTAAAACAAGGCAATGCTGCGTGGGCGAAGCCAAACCGCTGTGAAAAGATCATTCTGACACGGGTCAATGTATTTTTCAGTAATGTAAAAACTGCATAGCTGTCTCTCTACTACAAGTTAAAGCTCGGTCTTTAGAGTTCAAGTCATGTCCACACCACACATTTAGGTCTAACTGTATGTTTTTCTGCTATATTTCAAACCAAAGCCAACTGTTAAATGACTATACTGTTAAAACATAACATTTTGGAGGATAGTATATTTATTATAATAATAAAAAATAATAATGAATTATAGGTGCACTGAGCTTGTTATGTTCTCACAGCTGACATGTAGATTTTATTAAGCCTCTGTAGCCTAGACAAGCAGGAAAATTCTATTATCGGCCCCTGGTATTGTGTCTGCAATTGAAACTCCCTGCCAAAAAAGCTACATAGATTCTATAATTCTAAGACTTAATTTCTCGTTCTGAGTGATGATAACCCAATCAGGACTTTATTTAAGTGACAATTAAATTTTACTTTATTTATCAGAGCAGAGTGTTGTACTGGTCGACGAGTGAGAAGGATGGTACTGTAGTGTTTGTAAGCACAGTAAAAAAAAAAAAAAAAAGGCGATGATCCTAGACTTAATGGGCCACTTCCCATTTTTAATTTCAAACTGGTTTTGTCGAATGACAAAACTAAACCAAACCACTGAGCATCCACTGCTGGTGGTTACTATTCTATTGTTAAAATTCTGAACCGAATTTAGCAAAAAAAAAAGTGCAGCTTTTACACTATTTACATTAAAGAGTGTTATATCAATTTCACGTTTTCCTGAATCACAT